ATTCTCCATATGGCTTAATAGCGTTGTCTTTGTTGCTTTGCTTGCGGTTTTGCCTTTACCCTTGATTAATGAAAATCATGCAAACGATGACGGCATTGTTTATATAGATAAAAAAATTTCAGCGAATTAACGCAAATTGTTGCTGATGTCATACATGACCCTACGCTACCAAAGACGGAAGATCACCCGTGCCCTAAATGCTCGCATCGTGAAGCGGTCTTCTTCCAGACGCAGAGTATGCGAGCAGAGGTAATCGATTAGCTTACGTTCAGCGTACGTGTTTTCCGTCTTATGTGTATAAAATTTTGCTTCAGGATGAAATGCGACTGTACTATGTCTGCACGAGTGCCACGTGTGCCCATCGTTGGACAGAATGATTGAAGCATACTAAAAATTTCGACCTCCTCCAAGATGGTGTTGCTCTTCGCATTTGCAGGAAGAAAGTTTTCTGCAATGTTTTGCTCTCAGAGCTAGCTCTGCGATGAACCATGTGGAAGAGGCAACTTTTCAATATGCGAAGATTTTCGTCGTATACATTTCCTTGCATTAAATTTTCCGTGAATAAATTACTTCACACCTGCCTTATGTTTTATCTGCTTTTATTTCAATATTTCTTATATATTTGGTAAATTGTTTCGGTTCTTAGTGTAATGTTAATCTTAGTAAAGTGGTAGCTTTGAAGAATGAAAACAATAACGTACGTGATTGTTTAGATGGTGGTTCCTCATCCGTGTCTGTTTATGCTCCTTGTTTTGTGTTGTTTATCATATTGCGCGGTTTTCCAGATTTGGCTTAAGACTGGTTCAAGCAACCTGTTATATCCTGTAATACTTAAGATTAGGTTAAATTCGAGGTTTGTTGAGGCATACCGATTCAAGTGAAGTGTATGCCGAACCACATTGCAATTTCAATTGCTCTCTTCCTTGTGTTGACAAGTTCATTTAGCACCTTGGTGAGCTTGCTTAAAGTCTGAATTCCATTAATTTCATCATATACGTGTGTCCGGCAGGGACCCTGCGCTAAGCAAGAATTTCTTTGAGCTAGATGTGGGCGAAATTTTCCTTTACGATTGGTTGGCTGTCGCTGAACGCAGTTTGCGTTAACGTATCTTTCTCGGGTGAATGGCTGGACGATGCCTGTCCCACGGCAGTTATCAGTTCAGAAAAATCATTCGGCATTTCGGATTTACTTTACACCAGACGAAATGTACTTCCTAACTTAGTAAAGTGATAGCGTTAAGCAAAAGAAATGTTCGTGGTTGTTTTGGAAATTAAACCATATTTTAGAACATTTTCCTTTGTGTCTGTAGTTTCGGTTGACGTTTGAACGATGAAACATTCGTTTTAGAAAACTGAATGAGCTATGAACATGAAGAGAACCCCAAACAGTGCGGATAAACGAAATGTCTCTTCCGGAAGCCGGTACTTTCAAAAAGACCGACGTAAAGGGTGAGAAATTGTTTAATTGTTGAAAAATGATTATCGTTAAATTACGCATGCGTGGAGCATGATTAAAATTAATAAAACTGAAATCAAGTGAGGTAAAATAGTAAACCATAAGGCAAAATTAAAATAGAAGGGTCAAATTCAAATGTTAAAATGTGAGCAATAAAAATTAGCTACGTAAGGAAAGGCTCACTGAACAACGATAACAGTATTACTGCTCTGCAAACCTGAGTGCTACTATATGAGATTCGCTGGAACAATGTCTTCATGTAGTATTGCGCTCGTTCACACTTACACGATGTACCGCTCAGAAAATATTTTCGGTTCTGCAATAGGTTTTGCCAAATTCTTGCTTACTGATTATTTATGCATTCCGTCCCACTCCGTTTTGTTGGTTCCGTTCACTTCGCTGGAATTCGTTGGATTGTTGGCAGAGAACAAGAATAAATAAGAATATGCATAGGAAAGGTGCTAGGATATTTGCAAGTAAGCACTAAGCTGTTGTTGGTATTACTTTCATTTCTATTGTGCAGAAGTAAGAAAGATGATGCATTAAAAGTAGAAGAATGAAGAAAGCTGTATGAAATGCAACGGGAAAAGAAAATGAATTGAAACTGGAAGGAATTAAAGAAGAGTCGTTTCCTTATTGTAAAAAAATGTTGCATGAACTCTAATAAAAATGCACTACAGAACGAACATAAAAACATGTCAGGTCAGATTCTATCTAGTAAAATTTTAAAACGTAACTATTACTTCTAGAAAAGTTGCAGCCCTAACAGTGTTGTAAGTAAATTTACTTTTGATTTCTGAAAGAAGAAAATTAGACGGATAGTTGTCAGTGTCCGTTACACTTTCGTAGTTAAATGTCACTTCTTTCATCCTTCCTTTCATGAATTTGATGGCGCGGCTGTGATCTCGGTTTTTTGGCCTGATTTTAAGCGCAGAGTTTATATACGTGACAAATTTTTAGTAGTCTTCTTTTTCCCCTACAGAGTGGCATTCATTTATTCAGCTCGGGAAAGGGAAAGGCGGACCTGGACTCGCACTCACATTTTCTAGGTTTTGATCTCTGGTCGTGTTCTATCCAGTTAACTACCACGGTCACGAGAAGAGACTCTTCTGTGACTGAACACATGCTCTGAAGGTCTGGGAGACAGACTGAACACTGTCCTGACTATTCCTGATACGCAATTAGTTTACGTTGGTCTTTTTATAAACAAATATTAGATTACCAACGCGTCAAGGTAGAAAACGTGAATGCTCTACCTCAGAGGTTTCTAAATATAACATGTGCAACAAAACGATAAGCAGTTTTAATTTATGAAGCCCATTTCAATGCTGTTTTAAATAAATTACCATTTCAGTGGTTTTGGGCACAAAGAAACAACAAGTAGTCTCTGTTATAACTGCCGATGTTTGAGGCTGACTGCATTGGCCTTTCTCGGGGCAAACAGTGCTGTTTTGTCTTTTCTACTGCCATCTGTTCCCTCGAACCATCGCTGCTTATTACATTTAATTATATTCAGCACATGGCGATGGAAATAATGACCATGAGAACATAGAACTTGAGTAATATTTATTTACTGTCATGTGCAGTTTGCTTGGCAATCAATTTTTGCAAATATTCGTTAAACAGTGAGTGCTTTAGGTGATTTTTATGATTTTGTTACATATTAAGTAAACAGCTTTACGCAACGGAATTATCCCCCGTGCTCTACTATATGGAAATACGGCGATGTTATAATTATGTATGCTGCACATAGTCTGCCACGAGATGGGAACTGACGAGGAACTACTGAGAAAAACGCATCTGCTGACTTTTATATTACTAGAGAGCTTCACTCGCTCCATGCAGATCTTCAGTTCAGTTTCAGTAGGAACTCGGCAGGTCCTTTGTAAATATTGCAAAATGCACGAACAGCAGTGAGAAGATTGCAAGTACGGTAGTATATTAACTTCTTTAAGAAATCTCTGAAAGCTAACTATCCATGTAGACTACTAGAAAAGTGTTTTTAATGCATGTCTGAGTATAAACGTTACTGTGAAGTGAAACTTTATCGCATCGCAATATTGTTAGGGTACAATGACACAGAAATAGGTGTTAATTTAAAGTCGCTGTTCGGATAATAGGTTTCCTATGAATGATCAAAGGAGTTGTAAATTTAAAATCATTCAAATGGTATCTTTCCCATCTCCGTATGGGTACTATTTGTGACCATTCTTTTACGACGAGTTTAGGATGCTCCACCTGATCCTTTTGCAAACTAATTTACTAAAATTGCTTAGTGACTGGAAGTAATATCTGACACCGTAGGGAAAGTGATTAAGTATGGAGTCTTGTTTTGCGTCATCTATTTTTCATAAACGTATTACCGTTATCTTCTTTGTCATCGGTTTTTAACTTCATCCTTAGTTGTCCGTTTTATTTATTGAGCGCCATCATTTATCACGATGGTGGATGACATGGTGTGTTATACTGTGCGAATCATTCGGTTTTGTGAGCGTGAATATGCTCTGCTGTGTACAGTATGCGATGTCACCTCTCTGTTGTTATGTTTTCCTTCCTCTCAGTGTCAGTTTTAGTGTCAGGTATTAAAATTGTACTCTTTGTTTGAAAAGTTTCCAATCATTCTAATAAAGCCAAAAAATTAAATATCATAATGAAAGTTTGACCAAAATATCCTAAACTAATTTCGGCCCGTGAAGATTTCTCAAGGCAAACGTTCAGCGTCAAGTTGCTTTGTACCCCTCCCCACTTTGTTCCCCTCCCATCTTTTGTAATTACCTTTCTGCCGAAATTTAATGTTTTAGGACCAGACGGTTTGGAAAAGCCCATAGGGAAACAGGTATTGGAAGAAAATCGTTTCACACGAACATTGGCGGCGCAGGGTGGAAAAAGAACGAGGACCAAGGATTCGTTAAAGTACAATCAAAAAAGCCTAAATTGCTGGTGGAACCTAATTTCGGCGGGAAGTGGTACGATGATCCGGTAAGCAATCAGTGAATTGTGCCGTACGATTTTTAAGGACAATTTTTCTTGAGTTGGTGAATAATGCATCGTCTGCTGGAACCTCTTTGAATGCAACGAGGATACGAGCTGTCGAGGAGTCAGCCTTTGCGCTACTAGACAGAGACACAAAAGCCTACTCCGAATGTAAGTTTTTTTTCAAACATTTGCGTTCTTTTTATTGCCTAAGTTTATGATGGTGGATAAATAATCATTCAGGAGGAAAATTTTGCTCTTCGTAACGGAAGGGAAGGTTTATTATTTAAATTATGCTATCAAAGAATGCTCTTCTTGGGCTAAAATAAAATGAATAAAACGTAAATTAAATAATAAATCCGTGTAATTGGACACATTATTTATCAAATCTCGGTGTGGGTGCTATTTCTCATCCTGGAAGAAGTTTTTCACTGAATGAAGCTGACCTCGTAGACATGTTCGTATGCCGATGTATGGTACGTAGCGTACTGTATACCCTAGCTCGTCCTAGATCAGATTTCACGCGTTATGGCACCACACTCTTTCGCCTAGGTGCTTTTGGGGAGGTGGGGGTTATAGTAGGTCATGGTTCTCTGGTATTTGAGCCGCTACACTAGTAGATTTATCTCGCTTCGTTGTTTTCGCTTGATCCATTTCGCGCCCATCACAAACGAATGTTTTAGGACCTATTACTCTTTATGAACATACAAATTTTTATATGCCTAAGTATATTCATGTAATACTATTAGCCTGCTACATGGGTCGATTCAGTTTGCCTTGAAATGTAATCTCCGAGGAATTTTGCGTTATCTCAGCGGAAGTTTTTCTAAGTTACTTTAGACATTTCTGATTTTTATTGAGACTATGTATTATTTATTCGTATAGAACAACAACAACGACAAAAATCGCTGGATCAGCGTTAGGGCCGTTGCTCTAATCCCTGGCAATCGCGGCCATTAGTTTATTATGTGTCCTCTGAGAAGAGGGTACAGTTATACGGTTCAGCGGAACCGTTGAAACACTATGCGCTCTTCTGTCTGTCATTGTGATCATACCCTGGTGAGAAAATCTTCGCGCAGCTGGATCACTGGCCATCTTCCGCATCGATACGTAACTGTCTGATTTTACTCGCGGCAGTTTACTCCCGTTGTGGTCTTCATTACTTATCCCAAGATTAGGGGGGGGGGTATGACCGGTAGATATGGGAGCGATATTTGTCCCTTCTTTGCTTGTCACTATCGCAAGATTCACGAGATCTACATAATTCTTGGAAATGATGGATACTTGGCGTTGTTCCAGGATTACTTAAATGTGGTTCGGTAGGCCGAGTTATCAAATAACTTCCAAA